CACAGCTTAGCTATTGTGAATTGTGCTGCTATAAATATTGATGTGGCTGTGTCCCTGTAGTATGCTGTTTTTAAGTCCTTTGGGTGTAGGCCAAGGAGAAAGATAGCTGGGTCAAATGATGGTTCCATTCCCAGCTTTTCAAGGAATCTCCATACAGATTTCCATATTGGCTGCACCAATTTGCAGTACCACCAGCAATATATGAGTGTGCCTTTTCCCCCATATCCTCACCAACACTTATTGTTGTTTGTGTTCTTAATAGCTGCCATTCTCTAATTGCTAACAAGATGAACACTTTTTCATATATTTGTTGATTGATTGTATATCATCTTCTGAGATGTGTCTGTTCAGTTCCTTGGCCCATTTATTGATTGGGATATTTGGTTTTTTATTTGTTTATTTTTTGCTTGTGGGTTTTTTTTTTTTGTGTGTGTGTGTGTGTTTAGATCTTTGAGTTCTTTATAATACCCTAGAGATTACTGCTCGATCTGATGTGTGAGTGGTAAAAATTTGCTCTCATTCCATAGGCTCTCTATTCACCTCACTGATTGTTTCTTTGGCTGAGAGGAAGCTTTTTAGTATGAGTCCATCTCATTTATTGATTCTTGATTTTAATTCTTGCACTATAGCAGTCATATTAAGGAAGCTGGGGCCTAATCTGACATGATAGAGTTTAGGGCCTACCTTTTCCTTCTATTAGACACAGGGTCTCTGGTTTAATTCCTAGGTACTTGATCCACTTTGAGTTGAGTTTTGTGCATGGTGAGAAATAGGACTTTAATTTAATTTTGTTGCATATGGATTTCCAGTTTTCCCGGCACCATTTGTTAAAGGACTATCTTTTCTCCAATGTATGTTTTTGGTGCCTTTGTCTAATATAAGATAACTATAATTATGTGGGTTAGTCTCTGTGTCCTCTATTCTGCACCATTGGTCTACCAATATATTTTTGTGCCAATACTATGCTGTTTTTCTTACTATTGCTCTGTAGTATATAGTGTAAGTTTTGGTATAGTGATGCCACCTGCTTCACTCTTCTTGCTAAGGATAGCTTTAGCTACTCTAGATTTCTTATTTTTCCAGATAATTTTCATGACTGTTTTTTCTATTTCTATGAGGAATGTCATGGGGATTTTGATTGGAATTTCATTAAATATGTATAGTGATTTTGGTAATACGTTCATTTTGATAATATTAATTCTGCTTTTCCAAGAACAAGGTAGATCTTTCCATATTCTAAGGTCTTCTTTAATTCCTTTCTTTAGTGTTCTGTAGTTTTTGATGTAGAGATCTTTCACATTTTTTGTTAGGTTGATTCCCAAGTATTTTATTTATTTATTTGTTCGTTTGTTTTTGAGACTATTGTAAATGAGGTAGATTTCCTCATTTCCCTTTCAGAGGATTTGTCACTGATATAGAGAAATGCCTTTGATTTATGGGTGTTAATTGTATATCATGTTACTTTGTTGAATTCATTTACTATTTCTAGTTTTCTGGTGGAATTTTTTGTATCTTCTAGGTATCGAAAAATATAGTCAGCAAATAGTGTTAACTTGAGTTCCTCTTTCCTATTTCAGGGTCTGGACTGACAATTCTGCATGTAACCTAATTGGTTTTCCCCTATATGTAATCTGAATCCTTTCTCTTGTGACTTTTAATATACTCTCCTTATTCTGTATGCTAGGCATTTTCATTATAATGTGACTTGGTGTGGATCTGTTCTGAATTTGTACATTTGGTGTCCTGTAAGCCTCTTGAATTTGATTTTCAATTCATTCTTTATGTTTGGAAAATTTTCTGATATTATTTCATTGAATAGATTGTTCACTCCTTTGGTTTGGATCTCTATGCCTTCCTCCTCTATCCCGATAACTGATAAATTTGGTCTTTCTATGCTAAGCCAAATTTCTTGAATGTTCTGCTCATGTTTTCTTACAATTTTCACTGTGTGGTCTATA